TCAGCCAAGAGTAATGGTGGGCTACTACCTTGTCGCAAGTAGCAGAGAAGAAGTTCTAGTGCACTCACTTCTAGACATACAGACTAAGAAAGAAAACAATTAGACACAAATCTTTACACAATAGCACAAGGACTGCAAATTAATAGGCTTACATGGTTGGTTCCATGTACTGAGGGTGGTGATTTCACCAATTGGTGCAATGTCTGAACCAAAGTGTCGACTGGCATTGCTCTGATGGCACTGATCAGATCAACCAGCACCTGCTGCTCAGGCACAACCTCAGGAGCCGCCTGAGACAAGAAAGAAAGACTTTTAGACAACAAGACTTTGCAATAGGTCAACTGTAATATTTGAACAAAATTCATAGCACTTACAGTAATTTGGGCAGAGAGATCAGATAAACTTTGACGGCGGTCTTGCCATACAACTGCAATGGCTGCCAGGAAGTTTGTAGCATGATGCATTGATATAGGGCTCAAAAACTCCAATAAATGGTGTCTTATGACCCTTGCATTCCCTGCAGTTGTGCATCCTTCCGCATCTCTGGAAATCAAATTGAAAATTATTACCAGAAGCCTAACCAAGTACAAAGCAGGTGGATAAATAAACTCTACACATAAAGGCATCAATTCTATTGATTACAGTTGTCAACTCACTTTTCTGAGCATGTTGTCACAGCTTTCCAAAGAGTGGCTGTGCTGGAAATAATCTGGGGAAGGTTGTATAATAATGCTCGGCGAGCTGCAAGCTGAGGTTCTACATTGTCTTGAGCTGCGTCCTAAAGATCATATTTATGGTAATTAGACCACAATAAGACAACATTTTAAAAATATTAAACAATGGATGAATTTGGAAAAAAACAGCTAAAAGTATGTGTCATACTTGATGGATTGGGGTTGTCATGAAAACATGGACTAGATTGCTAAATATTTGTGCTGCATGGGAAGGTGGTCCAACTCCATTAACCCCATGGCTTGAGGCAAACAATGATCCTCCAGCACTAGCAGACAGCAATGGTTGATTGAGGGCATGCTGTTGACTTCGATCCAATAAACAATAATGGCAGAGAATTGTAAGACCCTCCAGTTGAGTGACAGTGTAATCCGCTGGAAGATGGAAATTTCTTCGTTCCCTATACGAGATGAAAATTTAAGTCATTAAAAATACTGTTCAGCATCAGTAGAGTAGGTATCTATATGGTTATGAGGATATTACTTTGTTGACAAGGTGTTGGCATAAAGAGGGGCAAGGGCGCGTAAATTGTCACATAGTTGTCGTACAACGCATAGAACAACATGTGCCAGTGACTGTCCCATGAATGGCAAAGAGCATGTTACCAGTGTGGTCCAGTGTTGATGTAGCCACCTCATCTGACCCTACAAACAACAAATAGGTAAAACAACAGCTGATGCAAAAACAAAAGTTAAGAGTGAGACACAAACCTGCATACGAAGAGCACTTAAAATTGCTCCTACAAACATTGGTTGCTGTGGTATTGGTCGTCCTAGCATATACTTTAATTCAGAGTTCTTTTGTGAT